AGCGTGACAGCAGCGGCTCTGCCTGTGGTCTCTGGGTCCACAGCTCCCAGAAGGCCCTGAGGACATATTGGGGTGTTCTTGGATCTGATCTAGAGATCCAGGGAAGGGCGGTGCCTATGAGAAAGGACTGTATGGTTGGACTGGTTACTAGAGGGCACAGCTTTGTGTTGGTTCAGTTCTATCCGGTTGAGGAGTGCAAGTTTGGTAAATGTTCCCTCTCTTGTGAAAGCTCCTGGTCTTGGTGTAGGAAACGTGTATGGACAGAAATATCCTTGTAAAAAGAAGAAAATCACACACACACACACACACACACACACACACCCTCAGTTGGCGCACACACACACACACACACACACACACACACACACACACGACCTCAGTTGGGCATGGGGTTGCACGTCCCAGCATTTGGAAAAGAAAGGCGGTAGGATATGAGTTCTAGGCCAACCTGACCTACAGGGGAGGTTCCAGGGCTACACAGAGAAACCTTGTCTGAAAAGAAACAAAAACAAAACAACAAATCTAAGGTCCAGAGATATGGCCATGCCTCTTGCCAAGATCACAGTTCAAACGCAGAGCTCAAATGTGCTTTCGGTCTGTGGCTCTGTACTCCATACTTGGCTGTCCTGTGACTTGTTAGGGAAAAAAAAAAAGATAATAAAAGTATTGCTGGAGAACAGTGCAAGATCCATTGAGATCAGAGTTAAGATCCTCACTTTGCAAATGCTGAAATTGCTCGTCAGAGTGTAATTTTAACATCGTGACTGCCGCAGGCTAATAAGTGATATTCAAGCCAAGTGATATTCAAGTGTTTGGTGATTTGTTTGGGGGCTTTTTGTTTTTCTGAGAGAGGGCCATCTGACCATGAGACTCTGCTTACCCTAAGATTGGCTACGTGGACTAGGGTGGTCTTTATTTTTATTTATTTATTTTTTGACTAGGGTGGTCTTGAACTCACAAAACTCTACCTGCCTCTGCCTCCTGGTGATGAAATTAATGGCATGGGACAGCATTGGCAATTTTTTTTCTGTTTATTTTTATGTTTTTAATTTTAGGTGTATGAGTATTTTACTTGCATGTATGTATAGACACCACTTGTGGCAGATCCCCTAAAGTGGAGGCATAGGTCCTCTAAAACTGGAGTTTTAGACAGCTCAGAACCATCACGTTGGTGCTAGAAATCAAACTCAGGTCCTCCGGAAGAGCAGCTGGTGTTCTTAACCACTCAGCCATACCTTTTATATTTGAGATGCTATCTAGCCAAGGATGACCTTGAACTCCTGAACTTTTCTGCCTCCTAAATGCTCTTACACACACACACACACACACACACACACACACACACACGCACGCACGCACGCACGCGCGCGCACACACACACACACACACACACACACACATTCTCTTTCTCACTGATCACTCTGTGCTACCCTACTTGCATCTTGTTTTAATATACATTGTTGTTTTGCCTGCATGTATGTCTGTGTCTGAAGGTGTCAGATAGATCTTGGAGTTACAGAGAGTTGTGAGCTGCCCTGTGGGTGCTGGGAATTGAACCCGAGTGCTCTGGAAGGGCAGTCGGTGCTCTTAACCACTGAGCCGTCTCTCCAGCCCTGAATCTTGTACTCTTAATCAAATAGCATACATTTATTCACCATTCTTAGCCTTGTAGGAGTCTGACTATATGCACTTTTAAGTAGAGGTTCTGATCAAAGGAACCAACCAACCCTCCCGTAACTATACAGTCTTGCTTGAAAAAGTGGGATCCAAAGGTATCCAAAGGCATGGCTGTCTCATGCCTTTAATTCCAGTACTGTGAGGGCTGGGTGGATCTCTGAATTCGAGGCCAGCCTGGTCTTACAGATTGAGTTCCAGGACTGCCATGGCGCAGAAAACAAACTGTCTCAAACAAACAAAAAAGCAAGCAAACAAAAAAAACAAATGTGTCTGATGTGACTCTTTTTTCCACAGGACATGGGAGGCTTAAAGAGGAAACATTCTGATTTGGAAGAGGAGGAGGAGGAGGAGGAGGAGGAGGAGAACTGGGCCTGGAGTCCAGCTGGTCTTCGAAGCTACCAGCAAGCCCTGCTCCGAATCTCTCTGGACAAAGTCCAGCGCAGCCTGGGCCCCAGAGCACCCAGCCTCCGCAGGCATGTCCTTATTCACAACACACTCCAGCAGCTCCAGGCTGCCATTCGCCTGGCTCCAGCCCCAGCCCTGCCCCCAGAGCCTCTCTTCCTGGGGGAAGAAGATTTCTCCCTGTCTACCACCATTGGCTCTATCCTCAGGGAGCTGGATACATCCATGGGTGAGATGGCATCCCCTCCGAATCCAGTGGCTCCCCCAAGTCCCCCGAATGAAACGATGCCCCAGGCTGATCCTGTGTTTTTAGAAGCTCTGAGCTCCCGGTACTTGGGAGATTCTGGCCTGGATGACTTCTTTCTGGACATTGACACATCTGCGGTGGAAAAGGACTCTTCACTCCCGCCCCCAGAGCCTCCTCGAAGCCTCTTCTGTGCTCCAGGATCCTGGGAGTGGAATGAATTGGACCACATCATGGAAATTATCCTAGGATCCTAAGACTCATGGTGGGGTCCTTCCTGGCATCAGCCTCTTTGAGCTGGGTCCTTGGATGTGACCCTTGTATGTGTGTTTAGCCGAGGCTCTCAGCAGTGGACTGTGGCCTCCTTTCCTCCTGTCAGGATTCCACAAACTGCCCTGCCCGTGTGCATGTCTGGTTACCCCCAGCCTTCCGTGAAGGTGCGTCTTCCTGAATTAATTTATCTCTTCCAGATGCCTTAAGGAGACTCTGTTTCAGGGAGTCCGATTTCTCACTTACACACTTCTTCTGCCTCCAGTTCCCACTGCCCTTGCCACCACTAGGGCCTCAGAGAACATAAAACTGGACCTGTCAAAGGGTGATAGACGGGCTGCCTCTCCAGGGAGTGGGAGGGGCTGGTCTCCTCCTGGCAGGCTGAGCCCCACTTCCTTGGCAGG